ATCTCTGCCCCTCACATGATGGAGGACAAGAGGCTTGTCCAAGGGTGGCAGACCCAAGATGTCACTCCAAATTCCTGTCCCCTCTATTCCTCTCGTCCCTGGGGACCAGGGACATTTAATAGTTGTCCTCAGTGTCATCTCTCTCCTTCTTGCCATCCTCTCCCTCCCAACCCTTCCAAGTTTTAGCTCCTGGCTTTACCCTCATCTTCTCTTGTCCTGGTTCATGGCCTGTCCCTTCCCTGCCACTTAACTTCCTGCTCCTTCACCTTGGACAATTGTGGTTCAGATCCCCGGTTCATGGCTCCCACCAGTTCTGAACGTGGTCCTGAGAACTGAACCCACTCCCTTCAAGCCCACATGGGAGACGCTCGGGGGCTCAGGCCTGACAGGAGGTGTCCAGGAATGTGGGAACTTCCTGGGTGTCTCTCTGCTGCCTGCAATTACGGGCCTAAATGGCTCCTCTGCTTGGTGAAAGCATTGCCCCCAGGGCTGACTTTTAACTCCTCTCCTGGCCTGTTATTTCTCCGCTCAGGTCTGCAAGTTTGAAGCTGTCAGGGAACAATCGGCCCCTTTGCTGGTGGAGGGCTGGGCCGCCCACCCTGAGTCAGTGTCCTGGGAACATGGTCTGATTTTGGGAGGGGACGGCATCGCCCTGCATGACATACAGAGTGGGGGAGTGGGGGGCGCGGGGGGGCAGAGCTTCTGCCCAGGGGCTTGGGCTTCTCAAAGAAGGCATCCTAAAGAGAGGTAGGGGGAAGCGGGCAGAATCTCTGGGGGGGAGTATGGCTGGCGGTCTGCACTCCCGTCTCTCCCATCTCCCAATCCAGCCTTCTTAGCTCTGAGGGACGGGATGGGGAGAGGTCTGATGTGCTCTGAGCTCTCCTTGTGTGGGGCCCTGGGCTGGGAGGAGGCCTGGAGGAGAATTGCTCTGTGCTCCATCACCATTCCAAACAGAGGGCTGGACACCAAACACATTACACATGCGTTTAATAGACACATTCCAGGGAGGGGAGAGAGGAGCCTCACTCCCAGCAGACAGCTTATAAGCACCGTGAGACAGACGGGCTGACAACCTGGCCTTGAGATGGCCTGGGAGACACAGACTACCCATCTCTGCATCTGGAGGGAGGGAGGAGGAAGGAGGAGCTGAGGGGAGAGTCTCCACAAGACGGGCTGAATGTGAATCTTGAGAGAGTGTGGGCTTTGGCACAGAGAGGGTATCGGGAGCTGTCAGGAGGGCAGAGGCTGGTTTAGGCCAGGGAATGGGGTTTAGCTAGGATGCCAGGCTTCACAGCAGCACGGGTGGGCCTTGTGGAGGGAGAAGAAAGAGATGGACCCAGGTGTCCAGGGGCAATGCAGACAGGCCAGGTCAGCGGGCAGAGCTGGCTTCAGGGCAGGGGTGAGGGAGCAGGTGGCTGTACTCAGCGCTTGTAGCTCTTCCGGCTGGAGGACGTGGTGGAGACAAACTTGATGCTGGAGCCACTGCCCCCGAGGCCCCGATTGCTAGCAGCACTGAAGCCGGAGCCCCTCAGGCCCGTCCCCAGGCTGTGCCCACCGCTGGTGGTGAAGGAGTAGCCGCTGCCCCCACCGAGACCCAGGCTTCCACCTCCAATGCCGCTGCCACTGCCGTAGCCACTGGAAACGGTGGAGGTGACCACAGCTGCCAGAAGAGAGGAGACATGGTCAGAATCTAGGGCAGGAGAGAAGACACCTGGGGTGTCAGGGCCTGTGCCCCGATGTCCGTGGGGTGGGGACGGGCTGGTCTGGTCAGGCAGCTGTTTGCCTCTGCAATTTGCCCGCCCACATAGTGAGGTCACTATGTCCCAGCCTGGTTTTCCCTGCTCTGCAGCGCTGGGCATTCTCCCAGCCTGGAACGGCTTCCTGCCTCCTCCTGCTACTGGGTGCCTCTGCTTTCCTTCCAGAACTTACTGGGGACTTCTCTCCTCTGGGAAGCTATTCCAGTCCACCTGCCTTCCCCTTTGATCCTGTCACACTCTCCCCTGCTGCTCTGTCCCCATCTCATCTCCCTCCGTGGCCTGGCTCTGGTGTCTCTCTTCCTTCTGGAAGCTTGAAGGGGGCACCTATGCACTTCCTTTGGTGTCCCCCAGCCTCCACACTCTGAATCCCAGAGGGAGGCTGGAATATTCTTGATAGACCAAGTGACAGCTGACCCATTGGCCAGCTGGCTCAGCCCCTTTTCTCCTCCTAAACTGCTCGTTTCCTAACTTTTATAGCCACCCGTCACCTTAAACATCTAGTACCGTAGATGGGCTTCTCAGAAGGAAGATTGAAATGAAAAATGGCCGCTGTTATGAGATGACTTGTGTCCTCCAAAAAGTATGTTGAAGTCCTAACCCCCAACACCTGTGAGTGCGACCTTATTTGGAAATAGGATCTTGCAGATGCAATCAAGTTAAGATAAAATCATTAGGGTGAGTCCTAATCCAGTGTGACAAGCGCCTTATAGGAATAGGGCAGACATCCGTGTGAAGACAGATGCACAGGGAAATGACTGTGTGATCACAGAGCAGAGACTGCAGTGATGGAAGGCAAGGGACCTGAGGACTGGCGGCTGCCACCAGAAGCCAGGAAGAGGCAAGGAAGGATTCTCCCCTACAGGTTTCAGAGGGAGCATGGCCCTGCTGACACCTGGATTTTGGATTTCTATCCTCCAGAACTGTGAGACAATACGTTTCTGTTGTGTTGAGCCACCCATTTTTTTTGTGTGTGTGTGTGGCTCTTTGTTGCAGCAGCCCTGGGAAACGAGTATAGACTTTCAGGTGCTTTCAAGAGAGAGGAAACTTTGGAGGTTATGCCATCCATTCCCAAAATTAGCTTTGAGGGTCTCTGGAGCCACTAGACAGGGGCATCAGGGAAGGAGGACACCTGGGTGGTTCAGAGGCCTCTGCCTTCTGGAATTATTGGTTAATATATCAATCGCTATTATGAATCCTGCATCAAGAAAACCAAACTCACTGGTAGGGCATAAGTTGTAAAGCTATTTCTGTTGGCCTCACAATGCCAGCACTGAGCTCTGAGTGATGACTTCTGCCCTTACTGGCACGGGGCTGTGCTGTCTTGCTGACGCCTTGCCTGTTTCCAAGTAGCTGCCCCCAACTGCCATGTCTATGGCGTCCTCGCTGCCTTGGAAGCCCTTGGTGACTTTCTGCAGTTGTACTCTGGGAGTTAACCAAGCAGTGGGCTTCTCCCCAGACTGTCCTAGGACGGGGCTGGCCCGTTGGCAATGCGCTTGTGTTGCCAACACAACACTGACGTTGTTGTGAAGGCTCCCTCCAAACACTGACGTCAGACCAGGAGTGTTCATAAATTCTGTCAACACTGAACGCTCATCTCTGAACCGGACTTGCAGCCCCAGCAAGAAAGGTGTGGAATCCTGGGATGTGGGAGGTGTGGCCCGTAGGTCTTCTAAACCCCGGGCAGAAGGATTACAGCAAACCTCCCATGACCCCTCTGTGGTGCTCTCTCTCTCTTGCGAAGAGGTCACAATTGTGACATTAAAGGCACTCTCTTAATATGGCTCTCTTTTTAATGAATTCAAAACCTCAACCCTTCTCAAAACGAACCCTACCGGTGGGATCCCCTCCAATGCCCCATGCGTGCCCTCCACCCTCTGGCTTGCCCACCACCTCCTCATCCCCCCAACCACATACAATCCAAATGGCACGAGGGGATGTCATACTCACAGATGTTAACTGGAGAAACACCTTCTCCACTCAGCCTGATTGGGAGGAGGGGGGAGAAGGAAGGTTACTGTTGTGTCTAGCAGCTTGCAGGCATTTGAAATGACATTTTTGTAACTGTTTTAAATTCATTTAAAAACCCTTTATTATTTTTATTGCAGAAGTAGTGGAGGTTGAAATCATTTAAATACTAGTAGTATTAAAAATAATAATCTAATGACTGAAGTAATGTGGAGTTTGAGGTTCACAGGAGTAAAACCTGTAAGCTCAGAAACATATTTTTGGTTTAAACTAGGTAGACAGCTTGAGAAAATTAAAGCTAATCATACACTGGTGTCAGTTGGAAAGGCAGGGCTTGTCCTAGAACAAGAAGAGGTCTCTCTCAACAATGGACATGTTGTCATGCACTGGGCAGTGCTGAGTTATTACAGGTGTGGAGAGCAGTCTGAGTCACAAATATAACAATACCAATAATCAGTCTATTCGTGTGGTAGCAACTAGAGTAATTCTGTTTTAGCATCTTGAGGACAGAGATGGCATTCATTCATAGACACATACCTAGAACATAATAAGGGCTAACATTTATTAAGGACCTGTTCCCTGCGTTATGCCACTTAATTCTCTCACCAACCCCATTAGGTAGGTATTATTATCTCAGTTTTGGGGTAAATTGAATCTCAGAGAGGTTAATTAACTTGCCCATGATAACAAAGCTGGCTTTAAAACCAGATTCTTTTGGGTCCAAAGCCCATGTCTTTGGCCACTAAACTGAATGATAGCTAACATTTGATGAGCACTTGGGTACCCTGCATTATTTTAAGAGCTTCGTGTGTATTCCCTTATTTTAACCCTCTTAAAAACGTGTGAGAGAGAAACTATGCTCATGCCTATTTGGGCCAGAGAGGAGATGTTCACTTTCCTAAGGTGACATAGCTGGTTAGTCTAGGACTGTTTATTTTCAACCCAGAGCCTTTCATACCACATTTCCAGCCCCGCCACGTAACCAAATATCTCGTTTGATAGAATTTGATTACTTAGACCTGATCAGGTCCTAGACTTCCATGGGGTGCTAAAAGTAGTTGTACCTCAAATTTGGGAATCTGATAATGATTTATTAGCCTGGAAAGAAATTGCACCTGTATTCTTTGTCATAGCCCAGTTCCACCTGCATCTTGCTCCCTTTTCCAGGCGAGGAGGTGGATGCAGCAACCTGAATCCCTAGGTGTGCCCAGGCAGCTGCGATGGAGTCAGTGCCTCTGCCCTCACCTGCACTCCTCGCCCTCCAGCAGCTTCCTGTAGGTGGCGATCTCCACGTCCAGGGCCAGCTTGACGTTCATCAGCTCCTGGTACTCGCGCAGCAGCCGGGCCATGTCCTGCTTGGCCTGCTGCAGGGCGTCCTCCAGCTCAGCCAGCTTGGCCCGTGCATCCTTGAGGGCCAGTTCCCCGCGCTGCTCTGCGTCGGCGATGGCTGTCTGCAGGCTGGAGCCCTGTAAGGGAAGGAGGAAGCCCTGAGCCTCCGGGCAGCCCTTGGAGGTGTGGTGCTTCTTGGGTCCCGTAAGCATGGCAGAATGACCCGGAAGACATGAGTGTGTGAGGAGCTCTTGGCCCTGCCAGAGCTTTACCTGCTTCTTGACGCTGTCAATCTCGACTCTCAGCCTCTGGATCACCCGGTTCATCTCGGAGATCTCTTGTTTTGTGTTTCGGAGATCATCGCCATGTCTGCCCGCCGTGACCTGCAGCTCCTCGTACTGAGAGAACCAGAGGAGACCCAGTCCCTCATCAAATGCCTGGCCTGGGCATTCCCTGTGCACACAGCCTGGCCCTCGGTGCCACAGCAGGCCCCTCCACTCACTGATCATTCACACATTCCCTTGCTCATTTATTCGGAGACAGTTCTTGAGTACATCTACTTGCCAGGCATGTACTAAGCTCTGGGAAAATCACAAAGAGCGTAATCAGACTCCTGTTTACAGTTTATTGGAAGGAGATAGACATTAATCAAATCAGCATATTATCGAATTTATAGTTCCAAACCGAGATAGCGCCTCTTAGGAAATGAACAGGGTCCCATGAGAGTGTAATAAGGGAATCTGACCTAGATATGGAGGGAGGGGGAGGGTCAGGGAGGTCCTTCCAGAGATGGAGATGCTTGAGCTGTGCTCTGAAGGGTGGGAAGGAGAGACCTCAGTGACTGGCTTGTGGGGAGAACATTCCAGACAGAGGAAACAGCCTGTGTGAAGGCCCTGGGGCAGGAAGGACATGGTGAGTTCTAGGAGTGAGAGGTGACTCCTCACTGTCCCTGAGGAGTTCCTGGTCACCAGGCATACCTCCAGACCAATTGTGACCGTGAACTTTGGTAGCCCTGCAGACCCCAGGGCCGGGGAAATGGAGAGGAGATGAAGGAAAACGGTGCTGGATGGAGCCGAGGCTGAAGAGGGCACAGCTCTGAAGATTTTGTGACAGAATCCTCCGCCTCAGGTAGCTCTTTGTCTAATGGCACACACCCAGGACACACTCATTTAGGAGAAATAAATGCGCCCTGTCTCCTCCAGCAGACTGGAGTAAACCCACACCTTTCCCAACAGAAGCAGAGCCCCTGCATGAGTGAGGATCTGTCCGGTTTTGAAAGTGCAGAATAGCTCAGGTCTTCTGTTTCTAGATACACACAGTTAGAGGGAACAAAAGGAATCATTCGCTATAAATTTTAGTCACTCCACCTGGGGGTTGAGGGCTCCCACCTCCACTCACCGTCAAGGGGCTGCCTCTGCATCGTGCACCCCCGGCACCTGACACCTTCCTGCTTTCTGCCACGTTGCAGTGGTGGGGACTAAGGCAGCGCACGGAGCAGGGCAAGGGCTAGGAGCCGGCTTGAAGGGGAGCAGCTGCCCCAAAAGGGGTCTGGATTTGGCAGGGAGCTGATCTCATGGGTTGCACTATCCAGTCTACCACACCGCTCCAGAACAAAACCTTCTGGCCATCTGCACATTTGGACAGGTGCTCTCTATGGTCATCCCAACCTCCCTCTTCCTGACACAAACTCTCTTGCTTGGCAAAGTGCTCATTTCTGCCTTCCAGCCCCAGAGGGCTGCCTGCTCTGCCTTAAACACCTCCCCGCTCCTTGGCAATCTTTTGTCCCCTGCTGCTTCCAAAATGGACTGAAAACCCACCTCTTCTTGGAAGCTTTTTAGTAATGTTGTCTTTTTCCCTTCCGTGATGATTCATTTACTTCATGGCCTCCCAGACCTTGGGTTCTCTGTTTGCAGTTATCTATTTACAACTCTGTAACCCTGCTTGGCATACAGCAGGAGCTCCGTAAAGATGTATTGAATAGATAAGCCATTTAGAAGCAGCTTCGTGACTGTTTCTTGGTTGTTTTGGAGTCTCACTCAACCCCCAACAAGATCGTAAATGCCATGGGCACTGTGGCTGTCCTGAGCACCCTACATCGCTTGACCACCTATTAGTGTGTATGGTTGGATTTCCACACGCATTTCAAGCTAAGTTTTCATAGCACCAAAGACGCTTCTGCCAAGTCACAGGAAATGGAAATACTCGCATGTTTCCTGAGGCTTGTAGCTAATAGTTAAATGGTGATTTGGGGCTTCAGAGAGCACTAACCCTGGAACCTGTCAGGGAAGTGCCCACACTCACCTTGGTCTGGTACCAGGACTCGGCCTCTGCCCGGCTGCGGTTTGCGATCTCCTCATACTGGGCCTTGACCTCGGCGATGATGCTGTCCAGGTCCAGGCTGCGGTTGTTGTCCATGGAGAGGATAACAGACGTGTCTGAGATGCGGGTCTGCATCTGGGACAGCTCCTGCAGAGCCAGTAAACTCAGCGTCACCGAGGCATAAAAAAAGGGATCTTGAAATCACGCAGTTGACTACACATCTAGGTCAGGAATCCCTTTGGCATCCCTGGCAAGGATTCTTCCAACTCTTCCCTGGGCACTTCCAGGCATTTAGGGGGTCTCATGCCAATCCCTGAGAAATTTCTGGGCCATAGATCAATGTGATGGGCGTGTGTCGCTGCATGGCATGACTCCGTCACTCCCTCCCTCTCTCTCCCTTTCCACAAACCCAGGTCTCTGCCTTCAGAGTGGCAGTGCCCAGAATGAGGCATCTTCAGAGGGCATGAAGCACCCTGACCAACGAGCTGAGGAGCTGCTTGCCTTTTTGAACTTTTCTGGGAGGGGCAAGGGAGAAGTGGGTCTTGATTCCTTGGGAATGTTACCCAGGGACGTGGAATTTGGGAATCACCTCCTTGCTAGGCCATGGGGTGGAGGAGAAGCCTCAGAGCTGGGGTAGGTTTAGTGTGGCAAGATTTCAAGCAGTTCTTCCAGGTCCCCTCGACCCCCCAAGCCCCAGCTGGGAGTATTTGGGACATGATGCTGAGTGAGGCACCGCAAGGATGGCACCTCCTGCAGCATCCTTTCCTTTCCAGGCTCCAGACCTAGGAGGGACATTTGCAGGCTCTTACTGTCTCAAAGAGCGTCTGGAAGAAGTTGATCTCGTCAGTCAGAGAGTTGACCTTGGCCTCCAGCTCCACCTTGTTCATGTGGGTGGCGTCCACGTCCTGGAATGACAGCACAGAATGCTCCTCTGAGACCCTGACCCCAAGCAGCGAGTCCAAAAGGAGCTGGGAAGACTCCTCCCTGGCCCTTCTAGGTTGAATTTCAGCAAACTCTGTATCTGGGGTTTGGAGCTGGGAGTGGACGATTGCTGGGGACTGGGGCTTGAGTTTCCTGGACTAACAGAAACCCAAGCAGGGTCCGTGGGGCCATAAACACAGAGCAAGCATTTTGGCAGGTTTCAGCTCTCCAGATATTTTCAAGGTTGACGTCACATTTCTTGGGTGGCCCCAGGGTCACCCAACACTCCAAGATTCAGTTTGGAACCTTCTCCTTTGAAAGACGTTTCCACCCACCTTCTTCAGGGCCACAAACTCATTCTCAGCAGCCGTGCGCTTGTTAATTTCATCCTCATACCTGTAAGCACAGAGGAGGGGGGCGGGCTGTTGAGCAAGCGTTCAACTGAACTCTTCCCAGGCTGAGGAGGACTGGACTGGACTACAGCAAGAGTTAAGAGACCTCAGACTCTTTCCAGCTCTTCCCTGACCTGCGTGTGTCTTTGGGTGATTCACTTAACCTCTATTTCTCCCTCTATAAAAGGGGGATCATTTCTTCTGCCAAAAGATTTTTTCTTCTTTCTTTTGTAAGACTAGAAGGTAAGCGTGGAACTTATGGGAATAGAAATACTTACGCAGCTCCATCTTCTCAGAGATGCACAATTCCAATCTTTAAAAAATTTTACTGCCTCAAGTGCCTGCTGGAACTGTGGGGTAAACTATCTGTTCAGGACCCTGTTCCCAGTAGATTTTCATATGTTTTCACTGAACCTCAGTGTGACCATTGAGCAGTGCACTTTTTGCAACTAGGTGTTGCTCAAATGCAGAAACCAAGGGTCAGCCAGCTAAGGGGTTTCCATTGGGTATCTCATCTCTGCAGCCCGGATGATGTACAGTTAAAGCTTGCCTCCTCAAAGAGGGTCAGACTGCCATGTTTATACTCTAGTGTGTGTCCTGGAAATGCAAGCCGTCTCAGTGACACAGCCCATGTCCAGAGGAGTTAAAGAACGTGCTGACTGTGAAATAATATTATACCTCCCAGAGTAGCAATGTTTTGTTAGATGATACAGACATCCCTTTTCAGTTATGTAGACAGATAAGAACAGGCTTCTTGTTAATGGTGAGGCATGAGCTGAGGGTCCCTTTGTTACCCACACCACGCTGTCTTTGTCTTATGGGATAATGACTGCAGGTTCCGAACCTCCCAATGACTCTGCATTTGCTCCTTTGCACCTCTCTGGTCCTTGTGAAAAGGAGCCCGGGAATGACCCTGTGTGACCTGACTATGTGTTTGCCCGTCTCCCACTCACCTGACTTTGAAATCTTCCACGACGTCCTGCATGGTCCTCAGCTCAGCGTCCAGCCTCCCCCTCTCGGAGGTGGCGCTGTCCAGCTGCCGGCGGAGGTCATTGGTGTAGGCGTCAAATAAGGGCTCCAGGTTCTGCCTCACTGTCTTGGAGCCCTGCTCCTGTAGGAGGTTCCACTTCGTCTCCAGGACCTTGTTCTGCTGCTCCAGGAAGCGCACCTGGAGGGGGGAAGAAGAGAATGAAATCTTGAGAAACTGGGGAGACAGAGCCAGACACTCCAATTAGTAAGGGAGAGAAGAAAAATGTACTTTTCACCTGACACCCATCTGTCAGCTATAGAATTGACATCTCTAACTCAAAATAAGAAAGCCTTTGAAGCTACCGCAGAATTCTCTGG